CCTCCCACAAGTCATCAACAGCTCCTCCCACAAGTCATCAACAGCTCCTCCTGTAGCGGAAGGCCGCCTCGGTCTGTTTAAACTAAAAGGGTTCCACCAATATGTCTACCCTACGAGGAGGAAAATTGGGCGCCTTGGATCAACTCGCCAATCCGGCTCTGTGTGTCTCTTGCCGGCAAAACGGCCCAACATTTGCCGACAATCTGGCAGTGTAAAAGGGGCTAGTTCTGCCTGTTGAGTTTATGACGTGTCTTACAGGTCAGCACAGACTGTTTGTAAAGGAGCAGCAGTGACGACACCAGAACCTTTCTGAAAAGTTACAGGATCTTCAAACGGAACACAGAAAGTTGGAGTGCTCTGACAAAAAGATGCAAAATAAATACAAATTTACCCCAGAGAGACCAACAAACACAAAATGGCCACGACTAAACCAATGATACAACATGACTTCAAAGACCCACATTTACCTCAAAGAGACACAAAACTACCAGTAAGATTCAAACCAACCAGAGCAGAGTGAATAACACCAGCAGTGTCCTGCTCCTATGAAGGAGAGGTGCAGGGGCCTCCTACATGTCTGAGCTCAGGGGCCCATTGTCTCATAATCCGCCCCTGGTCTACACTGAGCCGTCCAACACTGAGGACACCAGAACGTCCTCATGTTCGTCCTCTAATCCTGTCTGACTGTTGTCGCTGTGATGTTTGTTTAATTCAAACAGTCTGAGGATCTGTCTCTACACCGTCCTGCGTGTGAGCGTCCACAGTGGGACATGATGAACTGCGTGTGAGCGTCCACAGTGGGACATGATGAACTGCGTGTGAGCGTCCACAGTGACTCTGAGGAGACAGACGAGCAGTCGAGTCAGCAGATTAATAAAAGGGAGAGTTTGTGGTTTCATCAGGTCGCTGAAATAAAGAGAAGTTAATCTGCTGCTGTCACCGGTTTCACATGAGACTGAAACTGTGTCCATCATTTACAGAGACACATTCACTCTGTGTCTCTGTCCTCATGTCTTCTTCTCACCTCACAGGTCCTCACGTGTCCTTGTGTCTGTCTTTACTGTAGGTTTCTCTTTAATCAGGACGGAGACACAGTGAGTGAGCAGAGTGCATGTGAAGACACACAGAGGACAATAAAGACAGTAGAGGGCAGTAGAGACAGGAGAGGACAATAAAGACAGTAAAAGACAGTAGAGGACAGTAGAGACAGTAGAGACAGGAGAGGACAGCAGAGGACAGTAAAGACAGTAAAGGACAGCAGAGGACAGTTAAGACAGTAGAGGACAGCAGAGGACAATGGAGGCAGTAGAGGACAGTAGAGACAGCAGAGGACAGTAAAGACAGCAGAGGACAATAGAGACAGTAGAGGACAGTAGAGACAGCAGAGGACAGCAGAGGACAGTAAAGACAGCAGAGGACAGTTAAGAGAGTAGAGGACAATAAAGACAGCAGAGGACAGCTAAGACAGTAGAGGACAGCAGAGGACAGCTAAGATGGTAGAGGACAATAAAGACAGCAGAGGACAGTAGAGGACAGTAAAGACAGTAGAGGACAGCAGAGGACAGTAAAGACAGTAGAGGACAATAAAGACAGCAGAGGACAGCAGAGGACAGTAGAGGACAGTAAAGACAGTAGAGGACAGCAGAAGACAGTAGAGGACAATAAAGACAGCAGAGGACAGTAGAGGACAGTAAAGACATTAGAGGACAGCAGAGGACAGTTAAGACAGTAGAGGACAGCAGAGGACAGTAAAGACAGTAGAGGACAGCAGAGGACGGTAAAGACAGTAGAGGACAGCAGAGGACAGCAGAGGACAGTAAAGACAGTAGAGGACAGCAGAGGACAGCAGAGGACAGTAAAGACAGTAGAGGACAGCAGAGGACAGTAGAGGACAGCAGAGGACAGTAAAGACATTAGAGGACAGCAGAGGACAGTTAAGACAGTAGAGGACAGGAAAGACAGCAGAGGACAGTAGAGACAGTAGAGGGCAGTAGAGACAGTAGAAGACATTAGAGGACAGCAGAGGACAGTTAAGACAGTAGAGGACAGAAGAGGACAGTAAAGACAGTAGAGGACAATAGAGACAGCAGAGGACAGAAGAGGACAGTAAAGACATTAGAGGACAGTAAAGACAGGAGAGGACAGTAAAGACAATAAAGACAGTAGAGTACAGGAGAGGGGACAGTCGAGGACAGGAAAGACAGTAGAGGACAATAAAGACAGCAGAGGACAGCAGAGGGGACAGTCGAGGACAGGAAAGACAGTAGAGGACAATAAAGACAGCAGAGGACAGTAAAGACATTAGAGGACAGTAAAGACAGGGGAGGACAGTAAAGACAATAAAGACAGTAAAGGACAGCAGAGGGGACAGTCGAGGACAGGAAAGACAGTAGAGGACAGTAGAGACAGGAGAGGACAGTAGAGACAGCAGAGGACAGTAAAGACAATAAAGACAGTAGAGGACAGGAGAGACAGTAGAGGACGGTAAAGACAATAAAGACAGTAGAGAACAGTAGAGACAGCAGAGGACAGTAGAGGACAGTAGAGACAGTAGAGGACAGTAGAGAACAGTAGAGACAGCAGAGGACAGTAGAGACAGTAGAGGACAGTAGAGAACAGTAGAGAACAGTAGAGACAGTAGAGGACAGTAGAGACAGTAGAGGACA